GGGAACTGCTCAGAAGACTTTCTCTTTCATCAGAGAATAAGTGGTAAGGGGAGAAGCTGTGAATCCACATATAGTAATATTTTTCACATCACAATTATAAGCATTCAAAACTCATCTCCTTTGATGAACAGTGAGAAGCTCTTAGCATGATCTGATTCTCCAGGGCCGTACTTGGTTGCTGAAGAAAGGGGCATGTGTGTGTGTGTGTGCCTGTCAGTGAGACTGTGAGCCCTTGTAGGGTGTGTGTGTGCATGTGTGTGTAGGGTGTGTATCCCAGAGATCCACAGATCAGGCACAACTGATAGAGCAGAGAGGAAGGGACAGTGGCATCAAAGGGAGAGCATAGCAATGAGTGCCTTGGTCAGAGTGCGTCCCTGTGGCCTCTCTTTCCAGATCCCAAGCCCCCTTCTCCTATCACCTTTCCACTGTGATGCACATAGCCGTGAACTTTTTGGGAAGCACAGTGACATCATCTTTCAAATTCATATCTTAAATCTTGATATCATGCTTCATCGTCCTGAGGCGTAGTGGAAGGTAGTCTTCCTAACCTTTCCCTACTGTCTTTCAATCTACACTCGGCTTGAACCTTTCTGAATTCCCATAACTCCTTTCTCACCTACCTGAGCAGTAGCCAACACAGACTTGCATTCATATTTGCATATAGAATTACATAGATTTTTGTGGGTATATTTATGTATGTGGTATCACACTATACATCGTATTCTGCGACTTGCTATTTTCATGTCTTAGAGATCTTTCCAAGTCAGTGTATATTGACCTACCTCATTATTCCATACAATTGCATAGAAAAAATCACATGTACCATGTCGGTTTCGCCGACTTTTACTGATAAGCATTTATGTTGTGATCTTTTTCCTATTAGAAACAACGCTGTAGTAACATCCTTGCACAGGCTCCTGGTTCATAGCTGTGAGTGCTTCTCTATGGTTAGTGTTTCTCAAATCTGGCTTCACATCAGAATCATCTGGAGCTTTTAAGAATTCTGCTGCCCCTGCTCACCACTCCCTTCTCCTACTAGACCAGTGAAATCAGAATCTCTGGGAGTGGATCTCAGGCATGGGTATTTAATAATCTCCCCAAATCACTACTAATTATGAAGAATTGGAAGTGCTGAATTGAAAAGAACATACATTTTGCATTTTGAACTCATTTTGTAAACAATTAAGTTCCATAAAACTGCAAATTATGTGGTATCATTACTTCCTCTTCTCTAAGTAAGCTTATCAGGAAATCTAAACGTATAAACCAAGTATCAGAAAAGAATCTCCTTCTGGGCTGACATGGCAGCTCCTCAAGATTCCTACATAAAGTGGGTGTCCAGCCCACCTCACAAAATTATTTTCATGACACTTGCTTTATTTTCTTTGTATTCCTTGTGACAATTTGCAATCATTTCATCTAGTTGATTACTGTCTTTTACAGCCCCCAGTCTCCAACAGAACTCCTAGAGAACAGGCACCAAGTCCATCTCGTTCACCCAGTAATCCTAAAGCCTATTATAAGGGGGCCCTGCATATACTAAGTGGTCAATGTGTGTGGAATAAATAGATCCCTGTGGTTGCCTGGTTGGTGCAAGCATGTTAGCTGTGAAATGAAGGGAAATAATACTGATTGCTCTCATTCTCAGGCCCAACATTTCTAAACAGAAAACAAGCATTTTATCATCACCAAAAAGTACCTGAAAACCTACACTATCACACAAGAAATAGGTTAATGTGTGGTGAATCTTGACCATGTGGTAAAAAAAAAAAACCGCAAAGGTATTAGAAGGCAAAATACGATGAGCCACCTGCAGCAATGAATTTGTCCCTCTGCCTTCCCCTGCGCCTTGATAAGCATCTAAAAAACTCATACAGCAGACGGTACTGTTAAGCGTGAAGAACACTTGGGAGATCTGGGCACAGAGCGTGTCATCTGTCACTGAGAGGAGAATCCCTCAGCTGTTGCCCTTCCTGCCCCGACAAGTGAGTCTCGTCACACAGTCCTATAAAAAGGACGGGTCGAGAGAAATTTCACTCTGATTCTGATTATCTTGTTAAACTACTCAGGATCATGCTTTCAGAAAGCCTCTGCATTCTTCCTTCTCCACAAATCACTTCTGTGTGTAACTAATAATGTCTCAAGACAGATACATGTGTTCAACAGGACTGACCATTTCAAAAAGGCCAAAAGGCCTCAGTGCTGTAAACTAACCATGTTTAGACTTTCTTTCTAGAACATACCCCAACAAAACACAAAGAACTTTGACTACGGAGGAATGAGACCTCAAGCCTCTTTTCTTTGAAGTTTCAGGGTGAATTATTTTTACTTTTGTTTAGTTCTTGTTTTTTTTTTTTTAATAATTTTTGCTTTTAGAATAGTTTTAGATTTACAGAAAAGTTGAGGGAGTGTTCACGGACTCCCCACCCTGTTTCCTCCACTGTGAACTTCTTACTTTAGTATAGTACATTTGTCACAACTGATGAACCGATGTTGATACATCACTATTAGCTAAAGTCCATGCCTCATTCAGATTTCCTTAGTTTTTACCTAATGTCTCTGTTGTAGCCCAGTTTTCCATCTAGAACACCACATCATCTTTACTCTCTGTGTTCCCTTAGGCTCCTCGAGGCTGGGACAGTTTCTCGCACTTTCCTTGTTTTTGATAATCTTGACAATTTTTAAAATCATTATCAGGAATTTTGTAGAATATCCCTCAGTTTGGGCTCTATTGGTTTTTTTTTTTTTTTTTTAAAGATTTTATTTATTTTATTTTTTCCCTCCAAAGCCCCAGTAGATAGTTGTATGTCATAGCTGCACATCCTTCTAGTTGCTGTATGTGGGACTCGGCCTCAGGATGGACGGAGAAGTGGTGCCTCGATGCGCACCCGGGATCCGAACCCGGGCCACCAGCATTGCAGTGCGCGCACTTAACCACCAAGCCGCAGGGCCGGCCCATGGGCTCTATTGGTTTAGATCACGGGTTTGGGGAGGAGCCTGTCAGACACTCCCACAGTGATATGGTCAATGTTAGCATCAACTGTAACGTCATGTTGATAGCATGAACTCTGATATGATATGAATGGCACCTTACCTTGGTGGTTTCTATTTTCAAGTAGAAAATTCTATACCAACATGTTTTCCTCTGTGAATTCATAAATCCATGATATATATTTGATAACACAAAGGGGCTTAGATATACAGCGAGATCAAGCCATCTTCCCCCTTAATATGAAACAAAATGCTCGTATTTCAAATTTTTTTGCTCAGAACACAGAAAGCTCTTTTACTTGTAAACCTGTCATAGATTTAAAGGGATTTCTGCACCTGGAGCAAAGTATTAATATAAGCTGTGAGTTAAAACAAGAGCATATTCATCGCTCAGTGATTGCAGACAACCCCCACGTATTCCTTAACAATTCAAAGGAAAACAAACAGTTGGACAAATTTCTGTTTACAGAAATAGTGTTTCTGCTTTAAAACATATCGTTATCTTTTGAATTCTATTCTAATTATTTAAACTTGAGACAAGCAATACACTTAGGGAAAATATGTTCAGATTCTCATGACTGCCTTGTCTGTGAGCAAGGAGCGTCGGCAGATACTTCAGGTAATAACTGAGTCCTTGGCATGGAGTAGCATGGGGCAGGGTGGGGGGAGCCAAGCTAAAGCTTCTCCTGCACATACGTGGATGAAATAATCCAGCAGATCAGGCCACCCTGGGAGATAAGGAGACTGAGTAACTGTGGCCAGTTGCAACGTAACGTGCATTATTGCTAATACAAGAGTCTCAATCTCTCTGAGCTGTAGTACATGGAGAGGAGGAGAGACCCTCCCCAAATTGGGCAGTGCTTTCGTGTCAGACCAAAAGAAAATAGCTAGTAAACGTACATCTGTAAACACAACTATATTCAATAATTAGAGTATAGAATGTGTGTACTAACACATAAGCGTATATGAATACATACGTGTCTATGTATGTGTATATATGTGTATGTGTGTGTGTATGTGCGCCTGTATATATATGTATATATATGTGTGTATATATGTGCCTGCATAAGTATGGTCTTTTAAAATCCCAAATTAGCTACTGGGCTTTTTTTTTTTTTTTTTTACTAATTAATAACCACTTATTAATTAAATATCTCAAAAGTTAAAAGAACAGAAGTGAGGATGGTACATTGGTTAACCTCATGCTTCTTAATAAGAGATTCCAGCCTTGCAGACGGAGGGAGCCAAGGACAGAAAAGGAAAAACTTCCAAATTACTCACCAAAACTTACACCATATTGATCAGGTCCATTTCTCTCTTTATCTCTCTGGCTACTTAGGTAAATTTAAAAATTTATCTTATCTCCCTAGTACGGATAAAAAATCTAGGTGATAAATAATTAGACTTTATGCCATTTAGGAAATAAAAGAGATAAGTATCTACCATGACTGAAAGTTACTCTACTATTAGAAAAGTTGTTTTGCAAGAAGGTAATTCTTACCGTCATTTCCACCCCATTTGATATTTTTCATTAAATTATGGAAAGAAAACTAAGTTATAGGAAGTAGTTCTACATTAGTCTTCTTTAGCATACAGTTCACTACAATTAAGAGAGAGAGAGAGCAAGCCGGAGTCTGTGCTCCCTAGAAGGGAAACCACTGCGAGACCTCATGGGCTTTCCTTATACGTCTGCTTTTTATTTTTAAACATCACCACCTCTTTGCTGACCAACATTTTCTTGCAAATTACGGCGAGGGGGGAGGAGCATGAGCACAGGGAGCTGGATCAAAGTTGGTGACACTCGCTGCTAGAATTCCAAGTTGAAATCAAATCCTTCAGTCAAGTTTGTTAGGCATGAGGAAAACAAGATTTACAACTTCAGCAGAACTGTGATTCTATGAAGAAAAAGTATCAGTCTCCTTTGCTGTCACCAAAGGATCTGAAGCTGGCTTTGTCATATTTCTTCCTCTCTTATATATGGGGGGGGGGAGAGAAAGTAAGAGTAGTTTAAAAACCTGATGAAGCCGTGACCCTTTAGCTTCCATTTATAGCCTGAGCCGGAATGCCATCCCCCTTGACTAGGGAACTGTCCAATCCAGCCGCGTGTGTCGAGATTCTATTAGGCACTAAGTGAAATATATATGCATGCCCTTATACCGCGTAACTCGGGTCCACCTTGGAGACGCTGGGCTGTGGATCAACCGAACCACCACTCCTCTTCCAAAAATCATTTTGACAGGTTCTTTTGGAGGGGCTCCTTCTCTCTTTTTAACCCATCCTTTTAAACAAAATGGCACCAAAGAAGGAGGTGAAGAAGCCAGCCGCGGCCGCTGCCCCAGCCGCTGCCCCTGCCCCGGCACCTGCCCCTCCGCCTGCTCCAGCCAAACCCAAAGAAGAAAAAATTGACCTCTCTGCCATTAAGGTAACTAAACGGGTGAATTGTTTGGTCACTGAAACGTCGTTCAACAGGAGGGAGCTCTAGGAACTTGCAGAGGGTAGGACTGTCATGGAGAGGAATGGCATCACTAAGTGAACTGGTAGATTTGGGGAGAAGAGACTCCTGATTAAAAAATAAACAAACTCTAGCACACAATTTCAGTAAAATTCCTGAGTGTGCTTTTGTACGTGGAACCTGTTTTTGCTCTACTTTTTTTCTCTGGTTTCCTTTTATCCTTAAATTGTCTAAGTGCGATTTAGGGGGAAAGTGTGTCAGTGCAAAGATGTTTTAGAAATACTTAAACCAGCGTTGTTTTGCTTTTTAGGTTTTTTTTTAATTTTTTATTTATTTATTTTTATTGCAATAACAGTGGTTTATAACTAATGTTGTTTTTTCCAAATAAAATCTCTGTGGGAACTGGCTCCCTTACCTTGAAGCTACATCAAAAGGAAAGTTTGATCCCCCATCTGTTTCCGAAACTTTAAAAACAGCTGATGACCCAGTTGTCCTGGGTGTATTTATTTGACAGCTGCTTTATTTCATCTGAAAAAGAGAAGATTTTTGCAATTCAAGTTAATTCCCCCTTCAGCTTTGCTTAATAAAATTTGATACAACACTAAATGAGATCTCGGTGCAGACAATTATGCACTCAAGCTTTTCAGTGACTATAACTGTCATCTTGTTTATTTATGTACAGTATTTAATTCAGAACGTGTGAGTTGCTTCTAAACGACCCTAACCCAAAAAGCATGGTGAAACTTGTTGGTTATGTGGCTTTTAGCTTACGACTTTGAGCTCTCGCTTACTGATCTTGAACTAAGGAGATTGGGATTGATTCTTGTGTCGACACTTTGCTGTGATCAAAGTTCTCAGCTGCCAAAAGATTATCTGCTTTTGGAAAAATGATGCAACGTATGTGCCTGTTATCCTCAGTGATGTGACCCTCAAATGCACACGTTCTCCTCGTTCCCTGGGCTCTGATTGGTCCTGAGGACATTTTGAATATCTCATCTCAGGAACCCTGCCTTATAGGGAAAACTCATGGGTGGAAGTGCCTAGGAGGTGATCTTTTCACTTAAGCCAAATTTTTGTATGTAATAAGACTGAATTTTGCTAACTTAACACTGTTTACTTGCATGACAAAGCTGACTGGTAAGTAAACATTTTATTGACTATGTTGGTATAATCGTAGATTTTTAAAAATATTCCCGACATAAATATTGAATTAGATCACCCTTAGATATGTGATGAAATTAAAGAAATACATTCATAATTTTCATAGCATTTGGTTAAACATGAAATTTTATATTTCAAAGTAGGAGTGGATTATCACAAATATTTTGTCTTGAGTTTATAGGGAGCTGAAGTCATATTTGAAAAAATTTGGTCACAGGATCAATATTGATTAGGAACTATTCTTAATAAATATCCACTTAGAAGGAGAAATGCATGTCAGATCTTCTAATAAATGTCTTTCTACTTGGAGAACTGCATGCATACAGTTCATTAAGAGGAAATCAAATTTTTCACCTCCAGCAGGCCTAGTTAATGTGTCTTTATAGATGCACACTCATTACATTGTATGATGAGCGTGATTACAGCCACTACAATAATTCTGATTGTCTATGTTCTTTGACTCTCCACTCATACTAACGTTAGAGATATGAATCAGTGTCAACGCTATTCGTCTTTCTATTTATTATGATTTATAAGACAATATCATCTCTTTGTATCTGGGACTACAAGGATCTGGAAAGGAAAAAAATGTCTTAAGAAGAAAAAGAAGTGTCCCGCTAAAGAAAACAGGCATTAAGTTTCTTCCCAGAGGAACCATGTAAGAATAAGTGAATAAAGAATAATTTAGTATGGCAGGTGAGAAGTTTCCAAGAAAAGACAAAGGACACCACTTTTTTAATCCAGAAATTAAACTGATTACTTGTTGACAGTCAACAAAGAAGTGACGCTTTTCTGAACCTTGAAAATTGCTTTCTCCTTCCATCTATATGTTGACTTAATGCCAGTACGAGCTGGTGCAACTAAACAAAAGAAGGAAACACCCCTAGAGAGTCTGTGGAGATGGGATATGCTCTATCTGCACTATTTCATTGCAGAAGGAGAGACATGATGGATCCCAATGTGGGGCACAACCAGAAAAAGAAGTTAAATGAATCTAGAAGTAACAGAAGGAAATTAACGTTTATCTTTCGTTGAGAGAGCCCATTCTTAATAGAAAGAGAAAAAAAGAAAAGAACAGAATTGAAACTAACATATTTTTGTAAAGGAATTTAAATGCCTTCAATGATTTGCATTCATCAATGTGAAGTCAGTGCATATTTATAGATTATAACATCGCCAAAGAATGAGATGCAACTTGAGAACTTTATAAAATTTAATTTCATCCCAGTAGGTAACAGGGCTAATTAAAACGTACATTAAAACATTTTATATTATGATGCTTTTAATCGCTTAATGATGTTTCTAGATATATTACCTCTTATAAGTTATAAACTTTTTTCAAGCAAAGAAAATGAACTTTAAAGAAATTAATAGAGCTGTTATATGTGTTCATTAACTTTCTGAAAACTCAATAAAGAACAAAACTTAATTGGATTTTAAACTTCCTTTCATAAATCATATAAGATTAGAAACCTAACCGTCCTTTAGACTTTGAGTAATGCTGAAGTTTCACATTATCTTTGTGCAGTATTATGATCAGAGCAATAATAATATTTAATTCCTCAAAACTACTCCCAGCTAATACCTATGTTCCATCTAATAATATACCATGTTTAATAGCCATATATTTGACTCCCCATAAATTCTGAATAATCTAGGATATTATTTATTAGTTTTAACAATTTCTTAAATGTGCTTTCCAATTTGATTTCTTGGTTTGTTGGTTATTTGTTTAGAACATTTCTTCAGTTGTTCTGACATAAAAACCTTTGCTATTCTCTGAGGGAATGCTTACCTGATATCCTATCCCCATGGATTTTCTATGAGTGTGCCTCTCAAAGACACAAATATTGTTGATGTTTGAACATTAAGGTTACTGTCCTGGGTGGTTCTAAGCGCTCTTTGCTTTCAGAGAGCTGAGGCTTCCAGCTACAATGCCCAGACTAAAAGAACACTACCTGACAGAATCTCAAGCGTTGGAATTAAAACCCACTTTGAGTATGGGTATAGGTGCAAACACAAGAATTAACACTTGTTGCCCAAAACCGCACCAACTGAAATAACAGAAATTAATAAGTAATGAGATGACCATGTGCCTAGATTTAAAATGATCTTCAAGGTGTAAGTGAATTTTTTGCATGATGCATGCCTCAGCTGATATGTCAGGATTGCTGTGAGGGGACTTTGAATCCTGTTTCTCATTGTGCTGCTTAAATTTTAATTCTCATTGTATTCACCATTCAATCAGGTCATCTCTGACTAGACACTGCGGGCGATATTACAAGAAGTGGTAAACGTACAGAATGCATTGACAGAAACTCATCAAATAACAAATCTCACAGCAACAATTGACCACATACTTAGGAAGATTTAAACTTTCAATTTAATGGGTAGGTTGGAAATCTAGTGTTCCCAAATACATCTATTTACTGAAGAGTATTCAGTGGAGGCAAATACTACGTATACATGGTGACACCTGACTTTTCCTGGTCCAGGTATAGGATTGTTTTTGTTAACCTATAAATTCTTTTTTCTTCTCTCTAACAAGGCTAATACAAACCCAGTCCCACTTAGAAGAATTAAGAAAAATCAAATGAGGTCAAGGCCCACGAAAGGTTTTGAAAATTGTAAAGTTCTTTGTAATATAACAACTAGTATTCATTGTCAATTTACTCTGTGCCATATTATCTTATTTAGTCCTCAAAACATTACACTCAGGTTGTTTTTAGCCTCATTTTTCAAGGAAAGAAACTGAGCCTAAATGAGGTTCAGTGTTACGCCCATGATCATATCGCTAGTAAGTGATAGAGCTGGATTTAACCTCGCAGGCCAAAGCAGAGGCAGCTGTGTCAGCCGTACCCTAAACTGCCTCCTGTCAGTAAAGAGTAAGCTGGTGTTTCTAACAATGTGTAAAGGAGCTTTATTCGCTCTTAAAGGTGTGAGGTAGCGTGGTCCTTGCGTTGCTCTGCGCAGACCTGTGAAGCCAGAAGAGGGGTGACAGGCACACATCACAGTAAGTTCACCAAGACCGTTGACCTTGGCGGTTCACGGCTGTTGTGTCCTCCACCATTTTCCCTTCTCTTAGCACCTGTTGCTCACAGTCCGGTGTTCTCTTTTACAGACGGAAGCTGGAATGTTAGGAACCTAGAAAGACTGCTAGTCACTTTGCTCCAGCAACCTGTAAAGAGTTGTAAGTGGAACACGGATATTAAAAGCGTGCTGTTATGAGTAGATTGGTAGTTGCCAGGGGTGAGGGTGGGGCTGGGGGAAGTGAGTGAAGTCGTCAGAGGGTACAAACTTCCAGTTATAAGACTAATAAGTCCTGGGGATTGAATATATAGCATGGCGACTATAGTTAACAATACTAAGGATCGTGCACTGAAAGTGGCTAAGAGAGTAGATCTTAGACGTTCTCACCACACACACAAAAAAGAGAACTTTATGAGGCGATAGATGTGCTAACTAACCTTATTGTGGTACTCACTTCACGATAGTCAGGGGTCGCAAAACAACATTCCAGTCAATGACAGACCACATATGTGACGGTGGTCCCATAAGATTAGTACCATAGAGCCTAGGTGTGAGTAGGCTGTACCATCTAGGTTTGTGTGAGTATACTCTATGATGTTCACACAACAATGAAATCACTAATGACGAATTTCTCGGAACGTATCCTTGTCAAGTGACACATCACTGTATATACATATATCAAATCATCACGTTGTACACAGTAAACTTACACAATGTTGTATGTCAACTATATCTCAATAAAGCTGGAAAAAAATAAACTATACCAAAGTATTAAAAAATGCTGTTAAAGGTAATGAAACCCATTGAAACGAATTTTAAAATAATTTTATTTTTGTTTAATTAAACATATACACGTATCAAACCTGACCTCCAAATTTTGCCATCAGGCTAATATTCTGAGAATGGTATGTGATCTCTATTTTGTTTACAAATAAACAGCAAATATAACGCCACATGTATAATGACTAAATCTTAACCTTAACTAGTTTAAGGTAAAGAACTAGAAAAAGAACTCATATAGTCCACTTATAATTAAAAGATACGGGTTAGGGGCCGGCCCTATGGCTTAGCAGTTAAGTGCTCGAGCTCGGCTACTGGTGGCCCCAGGTTCGGATCCGGACGCGCACCGAGGCACTGCTTGTCCAGCCATGCTGAGGCGGCGTCCTACATACGGTAACTAGAGGGATGTGCAACTATGATGTACAACTGTCTACTGGGGCTTTGGGGAGAAAAGGAGGAAAAAAAAGGGAAGATTGGCAATAGATGTTAGCTTAGAGCCAGTCTTCCTCAGCAAAAAGAGGAAGATTGGCATGGATGTTAGCTCAGGGCAGATCTTCCTCATCAAAAAAAAAAAAAAAAAGATATGGGTTAAAATGTTTATAAATTGTTTCTAAATTTTCTTTATATAATTTTAAAAGTTTGTCTCTTTTTATTCTAGCCTTTCAATAATACAAATTAGTTTTTAGTGCACCTATAATGTCAACCAATTACAGTATTAATCCATTTGCACTGTGAACATAACTTCAGGAGCAAATCAAAAATTATTTGAGACCATCACTAGGTGTCAGTATCCAGTGTCCACTTTTAAACATCATCGCTGTAAAAAAAGAGAACAGGTGGAACGGAGTAGGAAAATATTAAAGGGTATTCTTACAGAAGACTCTCTAAAATTATATTTTGAATTATATGCTGAGTAACTGTATAATGTCTTTGCAAAGTGAAATGCAGTTTGGAAAGGAATAGATATAGTCACCAATTAAT